ATGACATACTATACTATATTGTTTATTTTTGACATACTGTACATTGTCATTTTTTTCAGATATTTTCGACAAACTAAAACACATTTTTGGACATTTATTTAGATACTATGACATCTTTTGTCAACATAATATACCATGACGTTTTTTCAGATATTTTCGATATACTACACTATGACAAATGTTTTTGACATGCTGTACTTAAAGATGGGGTAGGTAATTTTGAAGAAACCAGCTTGAGTGCTCTAGAATTTGAAAATACACAACCCGGAACAAATCTGCCACTTCCTCACAGAGCCCCTCCTCCAACACACACGAACGCGCACATGACCAATGAGGGCACGAGATAAGTTTGTGCACAGATGGAAGGCTGACAGGCAGGTAGGCCATCCAGTTACTTTAGCCGGGCCGGCTCAGATGATTGGTCGTGCTTTTTACCGTACCACGGCTTCCACAGATGACGTGTTTTTATGTTTTTTTTGTCAAAGCACTTCAGATATTCATTGCTATCGGGATGTTAAGAGCATTCCATGGAATATAACTAAAAGTGTAAAAGAGCCGGTTCCTCAAACTTACCTACCCCACCTTTAATGTTATTAATTAATTTATGAAAGAAGTTTGAAGTCAAAGGTAAATAAATGTTTGTTATGGGTTATGGTGACTTGCACAATTCTCTTGCACTATTTTTCTTTCCTTTCACCTCTTGATTATATATTGTATGTTGCATCGTTGAAGGAGCCTGGGTCGTTAGATTTTCATAAAACCAAAACTACGCCTTAGCTTCAGTGCATTTCACACTAAAGCATCTGAAACTGACCTACCCCACCTTTAAGAATCATTTTGGAGAAACCATACATTATACAGAAACTATGCATTTCTGCATCTCTTCTCTTTGCTGAGATGAATGTGTTTGTATGCATGGTCCTTCTATAAATAAATACAAATACTTATTGCTTTAAATTTAGCTTACACTTTTATCCAAAACGACCTACAATAAGTGCAATAAACCATAACGAGGCAAACTAAGGACAGTGTTAACTTCAAACAAGCAATATCATAAGTGCTGCTGCATCAGTAAAACTCTGAAGTGCGTTTATTCACCATACTGTACCATGACCTTCATCCTAATTTATTTAACACGCTACTACGAATTTTTTCCCTCCAACATCCAATGGTGGTTAAATCCAATAGTGGAGAAGAACACATACGCCATCTTCACTTTTCGACAAACCTAATGGGGCTTTTGATTGTGTTTTCAACAAGCTATAGAATTCATCTTTTCCTTCTTAATAATGAAAACGTGTCTCACCTCTTTGTCCATTTGTCCCGCGGGTCGTTGTAGACTTCTCCTGATCCTACAACTCCTGCTGAGTTTCCAGTGTACGAGTTATATCCTGAGGTTTGGCAGACGGATACAAGTTAGCAAAGTTCATACTTCGGCTTCTGTTGAATGGGAAAACATCTGAAACAGAAGCTGCTGGCTAATGGCTGTTAACGTCTCAGGTACCCCCCCCCCTTTCTTACTGCCATAATCACACAGAAACCAGAGGGTCTTATTTCCCCATATAATCTGGTGTCCATTAGCCAGCAGCTTTTTATTTCCCACAGACCAGTGTGAGCAGGAAAAGGAAGCGAGGAAGGGGTTTCTGGAGGAAGCGTTAAGTCAGATCTCATCAAACTAGAGCAGCAGGCGAGAAAAGAGAAAGCGTTAAAGGGCCCATTCCAAAAGCAGCGAGAAATGGTCTGTGGAAGTGTTGAAGGGTCCGAGGCCGAGGTCACCGTCAAACATTACTTTTATTCTGAATTATCTAAATGTATTAATAGTTTTACTTGTTGTCCTTTTGATCCAATGTTGAACTCATAAGACATTGTATTTATCAAAGTTACAGGAGGACTGTGACCAAAAATAGATTTCTTAATAGTATGTGTTAATAGAGAGCCACAGTGACGCGTCCTAAAACCAGGAAGTAAGCGTCGTCCGGATCCCTCGACAAAATGTTTTTGATTTATGATTCGAAAACTATAAAAGTAGGGTAGACATGTGGAGATTATCCGGCTGAACAAAACGTGATCCGTCTCTTAAATGTGTTTCAACCACAGAGCTTATTTTGAGCTATTTTCAAAAATCCTATGGAGAAATGGAATTGCTTTTTTGTCGAAGGAACCGGAAAAAGTTTACTTCCTGGTTTTAGGACCCGTCACTCTCTATACTGGTGTGTCTAACATGAGAGGGCGACCCCGACCTTTGACCACAAAGTCGATGTTATTAAATTGGTTCATTTGTCCCTGTGTCTTCTCCAAAACCATGTATCCCAGGAGTCCTTCAAAGTTGTATTTATACTACAGCAGAAAAAATAACAAAATAGTTCCAATCGGCTGATTTGAGGTTAGAAAATCTTTAAAATATAAGTCAAGCAATATTCTACATTCCTCTTGTTGTCAACAAGTCCCATGAAAAACACCCGAATTGAATCCAGACTATAAAGGATAGAATTGGAAGTATTAAGAAAAGTTGATACTGAAGTAGAGCATCAAATGTGTATCCATCCGCGGCTGAAAATAGTCCCAAAAGCTCTTCTACTTTGTGTATATCAATTCTGGGATATTGATAATGAAATAAAGAATAACAACTAGTTAAGGAGAAGCTAATCACAGTTTTAAACTAAGGGAATGAAACAGTAAAGTAGAACTTTTCTCTATTGTTGTGATAACCACTCAAACCTGGGACATGAAACCTCTCAGAATGTGATTCAACGTAGAGACTCTTCTCTCGTTTAAGATGAAATGAAGGAGGTTCGGTGCAGTTCAGATGCAGACACAGAGACAGGGTGTGAACCCAGATATACCTTCATCCAGCTGGCAGCCCTTTTTTCTGGGTGTTATAGCCCCGAAAGCAACACAAAAGGGAGATCTGAAGTGTAGTTGGACACAGGATCGAACCACTTCAGACCCCCGGAAAACCACATGAACACAAACGGTCCGGGAACAAAGCAGCCACAGAAACACAATCTTTGTTCGAGGCTACGTTCCTCTGTGGAGCCGAGAGAAAGGGACAATTATACGTTAAAAATCTCCAGATTGGCTTTTCAAGGATTTTACTTGGAAATCCTTGAAGGCAAGTGGATTCTAAGAAAGTGTTTTTTGTGCCTTAGGGATATTTGAATGTGTTTTTTTAGTAGCTTTGTCCAGTTGTTGAACCATTTGAAGCACTCAGAATTATTTCTCCTTGTTGTTTAATCTCCAAGTTAAGAAGTATTTCTGTGTGCTATGCGTTGAAGGCTCTGTGGAGCTGCCAGCGGATCAGATCTCACGCATTTCAATACATTCTTTGCAGATTTCAATATGTCAGGGAAGCCAGAGACTCAGGTGCTGGTTTGACCACCTGAACCTGCCGCAATGCCTTGTGGGAGTCAGGTTTAGTAAAGCAGCAGCGTTAAAACAGCAGAGACACAGACAGGCGAAATGACAGAAGCACAGACGAGGAGGAGGAAAAGGTAGATTAAAACAACAAGTGGGTAAAAAGGAAGCAGAGACACAGAGAAGACGAGCAGCCGGGGGGAGCTGAACGCACAGGCAGGAAAAAGCAAAAGACTTCAAGCCGTTACTGGGCTGAGCTGATAGCGGCCAGAGTGCAGTGTGGGTGTTTTAATGTGTGTGACATGCAGATTTCATTTGTGAGGGGGGGGAGGGGTGTGTGGGATGGTAGTAGTGTTGACATTTAGTGGTAGATGTTTTTTTTTTTACGATTTGAGTGAATAGTTTTTTCCATGAAGTCCGGGATGTTTTAGTGATTCTGATATAGCACTGTAAGGGGGTGAGGGGAGAGGGGAGGTTATTTTTGGAAAGGCGACAACAATCTTCCTGACCTCAGGAATGCATGGTTCACTCTATGACAGCAATCGCATCTGATTTGTCTGTGGATGATCAGAGGAATACATATCCACAGACCTGCCTTGAGGTACTTGTTTGGGAAAGGGTCACAAATGGTAAGCCCTTGACAAAATATTGGGGATCCTCTTTTTTAAGATATCGGAACATATTCCATTAATAAGCAATTTTTATTTAAATTTGTATTGGTAATTATTAATAATTTAAGATATTATATATTAATTATATCTATATTTTGTGCAATATAATGTTTATTTCAACTAAATTCTTATTTTTTAACATTTTAAAAACCT